AAAAAGACTGCACCCAATAAGTTTAACATGGAATTTTGGAAGACCATTTTCCTCTACAACCCAGTGGGTTTTAGGCTCCATGTTAATCTTCCAGGGCGTACAATTCCTGGCTCAGTAATTACACTACACGATTCCGGGAATCAGTTGACGTTCTCGTGTGTCTCCTACTTTTTGGCAAATTGAATTAGCTCAAACATCGAGACCCAAAACTTGAGTTAAAACAATGGCTGCGGCTGCTTGCTCAGTCAAACCCAAGACGCCGAGTCCAAAAGGACGTCTGGGCTCAGGTGATCGGTCTGTGATCGGTCTCTGGTTCAGTGCATCGGTCTCATGAACATCGATTTGTGTCCTAGCGGTGAACCATGCGAACATGCAGCTCCTGAGCAGTCTTCCACATGCGAACATGGAGTCTTCGGCCATTCACCAGTCCCAAAACGGCCAGTTCTTCCGTTCAGAGGTTGAAAGACCCTGATGTTGACACAGGATCCTATTAATCAAGCCCAGCTAGAGCCTCCAATACTAAACGAATTTCAAACCTGAATTCCACATGTCCATCACCCTAATAGCAGTTTTCCTTGGCAGAAACCTCTCCCTATTCATCAAGCCCAGCTGCCCATAAATTTATTTGTGTTTACTACTTGTTGTTATTTACTTTCTTTTTATACAGTCAGCATCCAATATCCTCTGGTCAGCATCCATTGTTCCGCAATCCCTAAAAACTATTTTTTGTTTTAATTTTCCCTTTCTACAACTCTATCAAAATCGTAAGGTTTTCAAGCTCACAAAGGGTGCCCTTTACACAGGCGTCGTGGTTCACACAAAATCCTATCAACCATCATCCATCATCATGACCTTTATTAGGGGGATCTGGTCTCTAATACCTCCAATCTCAAACCTTGTTGACCTTGTTGACCTTGAAGGAGGGGGGTTGATGAATCCGGTGTTTGGCATTAACCAAAAATATAACTGTCCCAGTTCGATACCCCAGTATGGTCCATGATTTACGGTCATATAACCTCTGGCTTCCGTTCCCACCGGGTCTTTGCATCTCCTCCATGCCACGAAGCACTGAACCGCGGATCGGCGCCCCTCCGCCTGCGCGTGCCAACCAGCGAAGCACTGAACCGCCCGCGGCAGCCACCTCGGTGCCGCGCTGAGAGGCTTTGTAAGGAAACCACCAGAGGGTCTTACCACGGAGGATCCATGTCTGGGTTCTAGGTATATCATGGTATAATCAAGGAACCAAACGACGTCTAAAAGGGGTCCGCTCGACCGATCTCGACCAATCCACCAGCGGAGCAGCGAAGCAGAACCGGCCTCCTCCTCCCCCTGGGCTTGCCCTTTGCTGCGCAGAACGCCCGCAGAGACCAGCAGCGGCCTGGGACCAGCAAGAGAGAGCCTTCTTGGCTGTGTTGGTCTGGTGTGCTAAGTGCGATGTTTAAACAACATGAAACATCAACTCTCACATTCAAAGCTATATTATATATAGGTTTTCTTTCGCTGCACGGGAGTCTCACCGGTCTCATGAACGGAATCCTGGGGGACAAAGCAAGAATAAGGAGAGATGACTTTCATACCAAAGCGAGAGGATTTCAAGTTTCAGCTGCCCAAGAACAATCCCAGGCCCACCAATTCAACCATCAGCTTTTCAAGAAACACAGCACCACGATTCCTTGCCAAATGACGTCATTGCCCCACCAGTTCTCCATACAGAGTCTCTGGCGACCGGGACTTGTTTTCACACAACAACGCTCCGCTGGGAGAAATGAAGGGATGCCGCCGCCCCTACCCACTCCACCACCCACTCCGACTTCCACTATCCCAGCTGATCAGCAAAAAATGACGGATTTGCTTGAGAACCCGAAAGACTATCAAATCCAGTTTTGGGGACCCACCCATGGGTAAAATAATTAACCATAACCATAACCCTTCAAAACCCAAAGCATGTGCGCAATTGTTGGTGGCAAAAGACCGTTTTTCAAACCAAGGACATGATCAAACCGTCCCTGCAAAAATGGTCGTTTCTCCGAGGTCCGCACACCAGGTCCAGCAAGGAGGATAAGCGGACTCCGTCAAAGATCTGGCAAGGACAAAAACACGTCTTCCAAGCACAAGACCAAGCTGTACCAAGCTGTAGAGCTCAAAAGAAAAGGAGCTCTACTTTTAGGTTGTGCTTAAGTTGTGCTTGGATATGAGGAGGTTAGGGATACAATTGTTCAATCTTTTAGTCTAAGCTCCTAATCCAAATCTCAAACGCTAGGTGTTCTAGCCATAATGAGTCATGATGTATTGAGCCAACAATATCATGAAACAAAACTTATCTATCAATATATATATATATACAATCACATATATGTATACGTATATAATGCATATCATATCATGCATATGCACATCAATGAATGTCTTACTCTTGAACAGTGTCCAGCATTATCCCCGGCGGGTGTCCGGGGCATCCCTGACCGTCTTCCCGCTTTTTCGTTCAGAAAGGGGTGGACGGTCGGCCCGATGTTGAAGTGTAAGGTCCTTCGTAATAGGATTGGGGTTGTTGGATGTGGTTTGGTCAAGACCAGATAAGGCTAAGGGATGGTGGCTGGAAGCCTAGGGTCTATAAAAACATCTGAAACAACATTTCCAAGGATTCCCAGAAGGTACTGAGTATGATCACTCCAATTTTCCAAAAGGACATTGCCCCCAAACAGAGGCCTTCAGGAAACGGTTGATGCTTGTCTCTGCCATGACCTGGCGTGTCCACGGTTGCAGCTCTGGATTCTTCGGACGTCCAAGCCATGAAACAGCTCAGTTTCTTGTTGTGGAAATGGTGCACCGTCAGCTCACGCACCAAATACTAAGCACAGCATGAAACTCTTCGTAAATCAATATGAGTATGATATGATATAATCCTCATCAACACTCTCTTGAGATGTGTATCAACGTGAAAATTAGACCGCCAAGCAACCAACAGTACCCCTCATGAAGCCCTTGGTTCACACGCACGACATTGCACGACTATATTCCATCGTCTCACATCAAAGTTTGGCGCTCCATGGTCGCGGCAATCCCCGGCGGCTTCAGTCTCGATGAACAGCTCATGTCTTTTTTGGTTCCCGCTCGGACCGGACCACGGGTCTCGGTCGGTCTGACCGGTCGGATTGCCATCGATCCACGAGCTGCGGAGCCGTGGAGGTCTAAAACGTTGTTCGGACCGACCGATGTTTGGACCTTTGTTGTTCGGAGCCACCCTCTGATACCAAATGGGGTCTGCGTCGATGATCTGGTTCTGAATCCCCACTCCTTTTTCCCCGCCTCCCGAGCCGAACATAAAGGTTGACCTTCTGAAAAAACTGTTCTTAGTTACTGTACAGTTACAGTGGGAAAATCAATCCCAAATAAAAGGTTCTTCCTGGGTAGGTGGTTGATCGCAGAAGTGACGCCATACCGTGTGGGTTAGAGATGGTTACAGTTCTGTACGAGGACCCGCGCAAGAAAACCAGCCATTGGCGGAAAACGGAAGGTGAGGAAGGGATGCGGAAACCAAACCACATCAGCACGAGCCAGTGTTACAGCTCATTTGTTCATGTCAATTTGATGTTGTAAACTCCCCCTTCCTATATGACCCTTTCATGGCAATTTGTATCAATTTGTCTGCAACAAGCCAGCCGTCCAGCTCATCCAGTGTGAATAGCAAACCAGGCTTTCCTCTGCTCGAGGCTCGCACGTGAGTCTGGCAGTCCAAGCGAAAGACATTGGGCGGGTCAGTTCACCAGGGACTCTCACCAAACCTGGCTGCGAGTCATGCTGCGCCCCTGCAGTTCGCACCCAGATGGCTTGATTGCATATGGCAAATTGAGCCAGAAAGACAAAATGATTTCATGTGAACTGACCCGGAGCTGCGGACTCTCAATCAGCGGAAGAGGGGGTTGTCCGTTTTGAAGGACTCTAAGTAGACGTCGAAGACCAGCGGTCCACACGGCCCGCCATCAGTTCTCTGGCTGCCGTAGCCCAAATTGGGTGGTACCCAAAACCGTTGCGTCTCTCCAGTCTTCATCAGCTTCACACCTGCCACCAGCTTCTCATGTTCAGTTTGTTTTGCGCGAGCCCGAGCGCTTCCGTGTGTGTTGCAGTGGTTAAAAACCAAACTTGTCATCCTTTCATAGATGCAAACAACACTTTCGCAGCCATGTCACTGTCTGTTTCATTTGCGTAGTTACCTGTCAATATCTGTCAGGGTTGTTGTTACTCCC